CTTTTATGCTAATTTAGCTTTTTTCTACTATTCCAGCTAAAATTCTGCTTCTTTCTGCTATTCTTCTGCCTTTTTGTGCTTTTATTTCCGCTACTTTGTGCTATTCATGCTTCTTACAGATGCTATATTCAGCTGTTTGCTGCAATTTTAGCTGAAGTTCAGATGTTATTAACTAAATTACATTTTTTAGGCTAAATACACATTTTTTTGTAGCTATTGCAACTTTTTTCAGCTAAGTTCAGCAAATGTGTGCTCCTTATGCTTCCTTGATAATTAAACAATTTACAGCTACTTTTTAGCTGTTTTACTGAAAATTACAGCTTTTTTTTAGTTATTTTACTACAAAGGATCACTTTTATGTAATTTTATGATTTTTTTTTCCTGTTTTAGCTATTTTTCAGCTATAACTGGGTGCTAATTTCAAATCGTGGCTGCTACTTTTAGCTTTATTTTATGCTAATTTTAGATATTTTATGCTACTTAAACTATAGATCTGCTTCTTTCTGCTATTCTTCTGCTTTTTTCTACATTTTATGCTTTATTTCTGCTACCGAGTGCTATTTATGCTTCTTACAGATGCTTTCAGCTATTTTAGCTTTTAGCTTTTTTTCTGTTTTGAACTAGATTTGTGCTCCTTTTTACTGTTTTTCTGCAAAGTTCTTATTTTTTTCTTTATTCAGCTTTTCAAAGTGAGCTCACATTAATACTTTTTCTTTCAGCTAAAGTTTTCAGCATTGAAGCATTCCCACTAGCATTTTCGCAGGGAATGAAATTTCTCTAGTTTCATTGTGCTTTTTTTTTATTTCCTGTAAGAAATGCCAACAAGAACTGGGTGAAGATTCAGGGGCACTTCTTCTTTGGTGCCTTTCATCCTGTCAGAGATTATAGTGTTGAGGTGAGCTGCTGGAGTTTATATTTAAATTAAACCTGATGAAGTGCAAAAACACAGTTTGTRTTTTTCTTTTATAGACTATATTCTACACTTTTCCCAGTCTATCAGAGGTGGCTGATGATGAGTGGATTCCACCATGGAAGTTTGAGAAGCTGTCTTTGTTTTCTAAAAACCCATCATGTCCTTTGAGAAATGTCGCTCCTGACTTGGGCCAGCTCCAGCCTGGAGACTGGATTCAGCAGGACAGAGGTACAGGATCTGCTTACCACCAGGCCAACAGATACTCTCCTTGCTAAAGCTAACAAGGTGTTGGATCTTCCAGGCGAACAGGACAAGGAGGAGCGCTGGGCCGAGGTGCAGAAGAAGATCACACCCTGGAGGTTAGGCATCCAGGATCAGGAACCAGAACTTCAGCTGGTGCCAGCGCAGAGAGCTGCTCGGCTCGGCAAACAGCAGGGCGCCCTGCTGGTTGTTGCTTCACTCATCGACAAGCCCACCAACTTAGGAGGTGTGTTCTGCACATTTTATACAAATACATCCTGATATTTTCACATTTTTGGCAACTCTTGTATTTAAGATTTTGCACAAACAAGTAAAACAATAGTTGTTACTTAAACCAAACCTTTTTTTWAATCTGAGACAGACTGTGTAGCTTGTTTCTTTGTCTGCAAGTTTCCTTCAGCACTATAAGTGGGTGAAGCAATCAGAATTTTCTTGAAGAGGAAAATATCTATTTCAAAAATTAATACTGTTACCGAATGATGAAAACAAGAACTTAGCTTGATTTTTAAAATTTTTTTAAGAAAATGTACTTGTTGTTTTAAATGTTTTAACGTGGATTTATGACCATAAAGTGAGTTTTGTAAGCAGAGACGTTATTGCCTGTAAGGACTATAGAGAAAATGTCCTGTTTTTATCCACGACAAAACTATTTCGTGTCAGCCCACGTTTTCTGACTGAAATCAGTGATGATGACGTTGTTTTTGTAGGTCTTTGCAGGACATGTGAGATATTCGGCGCCAGAGCTCTGGTTCTGGACAGCCTCCATCATATCAACGACAAACACTTCCAGTCCCTGAGTGTCTCATCTGAGCTCTGGCTTCCTTTGATCGAGGTGATGTGTCCAAACTATGCTTCATGTTTATTTCCAGGCTCGATGAATTTTGCTTTAAAAAATGAAATAATTAAGTGATGTTGACTTCTATTAAAAATGAGAAGCTCCCAGCATCCAGAYCAGCTGTGCAACAGGGAGACGGTTTTCTACAAATAGCCTCTCCTGAGAAAAGGAGAAAGCGCTCAGAGACCCGTCAGACCTGCACGTATTTTCAATTCTCAATTTGTTTCTGCCCTTCAGGTGAAGCCTGTGGAGCTCTCGGATTTCCTGCAGGTGAAGAAGAGTGAGGGTTACTGCATTGTTGGAGTGGAGCAGACGGCCAACAGTRACAGCCTCCAGGACTACCACTTCCCTGAGAAAACACTGCTGCTTTTGGGGTATGATTGCGATAAATATAATAAACTAAACAACAAAATAAAAAGTGCTGCTTTTCCTCATCAGAGCAGTCGTTTGTGCATAAATTCGCCCTTGTGACTCTCACCTCAGTGAAGCTGACTCGGCAGTTTGGTGTTTTCACCTGTTTAGTGAGATMCCCCTCGGGGCCTGCTGATTTTATTTTATTATTTTTTCCTTTTAAGAACCTGTCAGGGCATGCTCAGTAATAATTGGCTGTCCCCGAAGAGAGCAAAGGATGTGAGTTTAGAAACAGGAGACAGACAAACCTTTATTTGTGTCGCTCTAAATGCTGACTCGTGGCCTCGGTTGGTTTTCCCATCGGTTCCGTCTGTTTGCAGCAGCTAAGAGCCCGTTGACACGGTAGCTGCACGTGTTCAAGCTGAAATGTTTGTTCTGCCACAGCAGAGAGGAAAAGACTGATATTGAACCCCCCCTCGGTGTGGTTTTGTTTTKCTCAGTTCAGTCCCCGCCGCCCGAGCGGTGCCGTTAACGTAGGCACCTTCTGTGTGAGTGCTCTCTGTGCCGCTTTCACAGCTGTGCTCCTCTCAGCACAGCATGACCCGGTGCTAATTTCCCATCAGCTCCCTCTTGTCTGGTCCACTTTCACTCAGGATAAATGTAACTCATCAATTTCCTGCTTCCTCGCTSTGTGGCTGGTTGCTGAGAATAAATGYCAAACGCTTCTTTGCACAGCTGGTATTTAGCAGTGTTCACGTTCTGTTCATTACAAAGTGGACTGCTCTTGGATTAAAACGTTTTAGGTGTCTTTCAATAAATGTGGCTAAAAGGATCACTTGAGATGGGTAATTTGAATTTCTTCAAAAAAAAAAATACTGAACCTTTTAAATTGTGTGAATGCTATTGAGATGATACATTTTCCTTTGTATGTTTTTCAGTATCTAACCCTCTCTACACTTCTGCGCTATTTCAACAATTCATATATCAAAAGTTCAGCTCATTTCTGTGGCGAGGTATGAGGGCCAAAATGAAGACTATTGCGCAACCAGCAGGTGCCACATCCTTGTAGCAGGAGGCTATCTATATATTCCAAGCCAGTACTGGCAAATAAGGAGACTATTCATTTGTGTTAGCATTGGAGAGGCTAGCGACTAGCATGGACAAGCTGACTTTAGCATTGGAAAGGCTAGGGACTAGCATAGATAAGCTGGCATTAGTATTGGAGAGGCTAGCAACTAGCKTGGATAAGCTGGCGTTAGCATTGTAGAGGCCAGCGACTAGCACGGAAAAGCTGACCTTAACATTGTAAAGGCCAGCAACTAGCATGGATAAGCTGCCGTTAGAATTGGAAAGGCTAGCGACTAGCATGGATAAGCTGACCTTAGCTTTGTAGAGGCCAGCGACTAGCATGGATAAGCTGGTGTTTGGATTAGTGAGGCCAACGACTAGCATGGATAAGCTGGCGTTAGTATTGGAGAGGCTAGCGACTAGCATTAGCACCGGCCTCTGTTAATGGTGCCAGCCTATCATTATTTAGAACGATCAATTTTCTAAATTTACCTACTGCTTAATTTAGCAAATGTTAGCTCTTTTTACATCTTTGTGCTAATTTCAGCTTTGCCATCTACTTGTTAGTTATGTATCTGCTAATTTTGTCTGCTTTAGCTATTTTACAGTAAATTGCAGTTTGTTCTCACTTTTGTTTTTACTTTGTTCTCCATCTGTCTGCTCATTTCAACTCCCTACTCCTACAGCTACTGACTGCTTTTGTTMTCCTACTTTCAGCAAATGTGTTCAAATGGAACTGTTTTCTTCAGCAGCTTTCATGAAAAATCTTTCAGTATTAAGCATTCACAGTGCATTTCTGCAGAAAACTAAAATTCTCTAGTTTTTTTATATCAATTATATATACTGAAAATCTTCTGTGCTACTTTGCCACACTTTACAATGTTTTTTTTTTTGTGTGTGTTTATTTTTATTGTAGCAATGAACGAGAAGGCATTCCTGCAAATCTGCTCCAGATGTTGGACGTGTGCGTGGAAATCCCCCAACAAGGGGTCATCCGCTCACTCAACGTGCACGTGAGCGCGGCTRTGTTGGTTTGGGAATACACTCGGCAGCACCTCGGCCCTGCCTCGTCTGAAACCGCCTTAAAAGACAATTAAAAAGTGAGGCAGCGGGTGCAGCCTGACAGAACTCCTCACCACCAGGTGGTTTTCCACAGGCTTAATGTTGTGATTTTATAGACCTCTGTGTTCTTCAGAGCCTGGACTCTGTTTCCTGAGGGTTCTGTGTGCTTACCAGTCATCGGCTTTAATAGGAGTCATGAATAAAGATCAGTTCTGGTTATTACAGCCAAATGTTCCACTTGCTGTGAAATGAATTGGAACCATCTTTGTTTTGGCAGAGCAGCAGCGTAAACAGACATTTTCTTCTTGTGTCTCGCTCATGTGAGCAATTAGTTATTGCTTCGGATCATTATGACTAGATTATTATATTCACACTCTATTACATATTCAAATAATACTATTGTTTTAGCATATTTAAAGTTTTTTATTGCAGATTGAGGAGAAGTTGTAATATTATTAAATGTACATTTAAATAAAATGTCTTTTTTTATGCTTGTCTGTTTTTCCTTTTGAAATACAACACGATTAGGACGGCTCATTGACAGAGAAAGCATGGAAAGGGTTAAAGATGTTAATGAATCTCCTCCCTCTCCTTTTTAAATAAAGGACTTTGGTCACGTTGATCAGATCAGAGTGGGAACACACGGAGTAAGACATGGGATTCTTCTCCCTGTAAGCATGTGTGCAGGATTTGTTATGTGAGGAGAGCGTCCAGCTGAACGGGTGATGGAGGATCTGGARGGCCTCGGCTCCTCTCAGCAGGGTGCAGGGACCAACAGGACCGGGCCTGAGGACTCTGTGGGCGGCTTGTCCGGGAGGAGTCAGGCGCTGCTGGAGGTGCTCCTGGTGCTCATGTGTTCGGGCGCAGTGATGGGTAAAATCTGACAGCTCTCTTATTTAAACACCGCTTTTACAGTAGTTTACAAAATACAAATATTTATTTTCTAAAAATACATCATAAAGTGAAGACACTAAATTCTCAACTGCTGAAGTTGTGAATTTGAAAACTTGATACCTCATCATAAAACTGGATTTACCAGTAGCCATCAAACATTTGTATATTATGACCTCTAAAATAATGTTTAACCTGAATAAAACATTGAGATGTCAGTACTTGAGGTCTCAGGCCGTTGAGAAACAAAATATTTGATTTTAGCTGTAAATTTCTGAAGTAATTAAACTAGATTTTAACCAAAAATGCATACATTTTAGTAATCTAAAAAGAAAAGAAAAATAAAGTGAGTTGGTTCAGCTGAATTTTAATCAAATTTTAGTTTTTACAGCTGAAAATGTGGCTGTGGTTGTCTGATCCAGTGTTTTTCAAAGTGGGGGGGCACAAACAGGGTGGCTCAGAAAGCTGGAGGGAAGATAAGAAAAGCAACAATTTAAAACTTAAAGAGTAAATCATAATAAAATGAAATCAATTTTTCATTCATTTCAAAATATGACTTATAATAATGTATTGAAATATTTAAGAGAGGTTTGATTTCATGCTTTTATCTCTTCTTGGGTAGATTTTAACTCTTTGTTTTAACAAATCTGCAGTCCCTCATTGACCGTTAACGCTGCAGTGATTCTTCTAACAGAGGGGCTCGCATCACACCAGTTTTCTCCTCTTTACATTGGCTACCTGCCAAATTCATAATTGATTTTTTAATTTCAGTCTTGACTGTTAGAGTTCTCAATATGTTACTTAAATGCTCCTCGTTCTTCTGGCCACAGTCTTCAGGCCAAAATCTCTTGAAGGCTCCTGAAACCAGGTTTAAAACTTGATAGAGGCCCTAGATTGTGGAACGCCCTGTCTCTGATGAGTTCTTCAAAAAAGCAGCTTAAGACTCTGACAAGCTTTTGGCTAAATGTATTAAAGTTTTATTATTCACGTTTTATTGTAGGCTTTTTATGCTCTTWTTGTATGTTTGTATTTATTTTTGTGACGTCTGTCTGTGKAAAGTGCTATAGCTAAAATGTACTTCTTTGGTTTTGTTCTTACCYTCAGCAGTTTGTTGAAAAGTTGTTTTTTTCAGTGAGAATATAATAGGTGTTAATGCAATTCTAATGCTAAACAAAGGTAATAATTATTGAATAGTGAATAAAAGTGAGAAAAACACATGCTAAAAGTTGATATTTTACATGTTTTGTAGCATTGTTTGTGGGTTTGCAATGGGGTCCCCAGCCAGAAGATTATGCAGTTTGCGGGGCGGGGGGGGTCCACGGCTTGTAAAAAGTTTGTGAACCCCTGATCTCATCCAGTCATTTGAACTGCTGAGTCATTGCTTGTTTGTGTGTGCAGGGAATCTTCTCGTCCTTGTCATCGTGGCTGCCACCAGGACCCTCCACGCGGTGACGTCCGTGCTGATCACGAACTTGGCCATCAGTGACCTCCTGGTGGGTGTCGGAGCGATGCCTTTTGTCGCTCTGTCCGTCACGAACCGCAGATGGGTGCGGTGTACCGTAAGTGTCTTCTGAGCGACACGTTTTAGTTTTACGCTGACTGTCCCTATGGTGAGGTTGTGTCTCTCCTGTCTGTTAGGAGCTCTGCTTGTTCGTTGGTTACGCCTCCTCCGTGTTCTGCACGGCTTCTGTTCTGACACTGGCTGCCATCGCTCTTGACCGCTACTTTTCCATCGTGGACTGCCTGCGCTACAGCTCCCGCTGCACCCTGTGGAGGACCTGCTGCGTGGTCCTGTGGATCTGGCTGCAGGCCCTGGCTACTTGTAGTCCTCCACTTCTGGGCTGGAGCTCAATCACCTACGTGGCTCCAATGTATAACTGTGCGACCAGCTGGGCCGGCAGTCCCAGCTACACGGCCTTCGTGGCTGTTTTTTCCTACCTCCTACCCGCAGTGGTGATCCTCTACTGCTACGTGAACATCGTCAAGGTGGCCCACAGCCACGCCAGGAGGATCCATACCCTGGAGGACTCTGTCCAGCGCCGGAGCAACTCCTGCTCTGCCTGCAATCAAAGCGATTCAGCTCACCGGAACTGTAGGAGTCCCTGGAGACTGATCTGCCACGTAAACGGAGCGTTCGTGTCTCAGTCCAGTTCGGAAGCGGAGAACATCCACCACGTTCTTCCCGAGAGTCGCACTTCARCCCGACGTCTGCGCTCCTTCCAACCACCTGCTCAGAACCATCATCACGGAGCGGTGCGCCTTCTTCTCATCATCGCAGCTTTTCTCATCTGCTGGACACCCTACACGAGCGTTGCTCTTGTCCAGGCCGCTGAAGCTGCGGTCACCGGCCGCTCCGGCCTCGTCCCAGACTCTGCCATCACCTTCTCCTACTGGCTGCTGCTGTTGAACTCTGATATCAATCCTCTTCTGTACGCTCTGCTCAGTAAGCGTTTCCAAAGTGCTCTCTGGGGACTCGGGCACAGAATAAGAGCTCGTTTGGGGTGGTTGCTGGGCTGGGAAGGGGAGGTGGGAGCAGAGGGAGGTGAGCTCAGGAGCAGCGTCCCCTGCTCCCTGACCTCCTCACATCCCAGTCCCCGTTCCAGCACGGAGAGTTTGACCTGCGAAGACTCCAAGTACTCCTCCTCCGTTTTTACCATTAGTGCCGGCTTCAAACGCCACACTGAGGTCCACGTGTGTAAGACGTGTCAACGTGGAAACGCCTCTTCCTCCTCTGTGTGGCCGGAGTTCGACACGAAACACAGTCTGCAGGTCCCGTCTCGGCCTCAAGAGGGAAGCAGACTTCCTTTTTCTGCTCTGACAAAGGAGCAGCAGGCCACTTTTTTCTTTGGTCAGATTACAGTGAGAGTAGAGCACGATATCTGCTAAAGTAAGCAAATTACCTTTAATCATCTTTTGTTGGACCATCCTTTCTACAGAAGGCTTCACATCAGACTGGAGAATGGTGCAAAATAAGCCCAAAACATCTCTCCACCTCCATGCTTGACAGTGAAAACCAGGTGTTTATGCCTCTTTGTGGTATTTAAGTTGTACTCAGGGCCGGCCCTAGACATTTGGGGGCCCTAAGCAAGATCTGTTTTGGGGGCCCTACTTCACCATAAGTAGACCGTAAAAGATACGCAAAATTAAATGCTGTCCGTTTCCTGCATTCTGGAGTATTTTAACAGGTTGATAAACATTTTAAAGTAAACACTTGATTTCATAACTATTTTAGTTTATTTGAATCATCCTGGTTTTAAACTCACTGCTGTCCAAGATCAGGAAATGAATGTGATAAATTATCAAAAGTTTAGCGTTCCATTTTACTTTTTTGTCTATTCTTGATTTGGTTTTATTTGTAACACATGACATTGTGCCAAGCAGTGCTGACTCGATTACGTTTAAAATAAGAATATTAATAATTTTACCCAATAAACAGATGTAATTATGATAATCACCTAAATTTACTGATGAATCTATTCATAACCAAAACTGACATGACATCATACAACCTACAGATAAAAATACTAATAAGTTCCTAAAAGATGATGCAAGATCTGACCTCAGGCTGAACTTTCCAGCACATTAACTTTTTTTTAGAAGATTTGTGACCGTTTCAGTATATTCCTCCTATAGATGAATTTACCAGGACGATGCATTCCAAATTGCTTGTAAATTGTGTTATAACTACTCACCCAAGTTGTCAAAGATTTTTTGTGGCACTAGCCTCCATCTGCCGGTGGGGAAAGACAAGCATAATATGCAGCAAAGGGGTCTTGTCGGGAGTTGAACCAGAAATGGCTGCAGGGCATCAGCATCTGAATACTGAATACTTCTTAAAGGAAAGAGCTGTGAAAAAAAAAGCGTATCTAAATTCATGGCTGATGCCTTGTCTATTTGGTTCGGCACATACCAACAAATTGCCAAAACCTGGTGCTCATAAATAAACGGATGGTCAAGCTCATACTTATCCTTTAAAGTGCCTGTGACATGGATATCCTTCACATTAAAAAGTCAAAGAAAGCATCTTTATATTTACAAAATTTGGCAAAATTGATGKTTTTACTCGTTTTCTCTGCCATATTTTCTTATATTCTCACTGAAAAGTGAAACAGGAAGTGACATCAAAGGGGACCTTTTTTTGTTTATTGAAACAATATTATTTGAACTTTGACTCTTCTTCGTCTCTCTGATAGTAATCTAAAAAAAACCTTCCAATTCTTCTCTACAGTCTGTGTTATCAGCCATTATGGGAATGCTCTGTTCACATTCAAACATTCCCCTTTGACATTACTTCCTGTTAATTCACGTTTGAATATCTTAACAACGGTTCATCTCATCAGTGTGAAATTTCTTTTGCATATATGTTTTTCATCTTATCTTTAAAAAAACATTCAGATTTATGACAAAAATTGATGTCACAGGCACTTTAATTTCTTCAGGAAAAAAAACTAAATTATAAAAACATCTACAGCGGGTAAAATAAGTATTGAACACGTCAACATTTTTCTCAGTAAATATATTACTAGAGGTGCTAATG